TCGAAACTCTTGACCGTGTTCTCAACAACCGTCCTTGGGCCTCCGATGGTATGCGTCGTCAAATCGTCCACCACATTCAACGCACGACACGGAGGCGTCTCCTCAGCCAGGCGCTTGAGGAGGCACAAGGTCATCAGTTTCGCCACTCCCGTTGCCGCACTGCAGCCAGCCACGATAGTTCCATTCGGATGACTGACTCTGCTCGTGCCTCCTGTCCAGCGCGCACGGCGTGGCGCTCGATACAGGCAGCAGAGCGCCTTCAGCAAGGCGCCGTCGAAGTTGTAGTGCTCTGCTGCTTCTCTTAGCTGCTGATGACTGACATTCTCGTAGAACTTGCGGATGTCATAGAACACAGTTATGGCCGACAGCCTCTTCCTTCTGGCGTAGCAGGCAAGCATATTGTGTACGTACGCCGCTTTGTCACAACTGGTCGTGGCATCCTTTCCCCAGAAAAACTTCGCATCAACCGACGCCTCCCAACCTTTGACATACTGCCTCCTGCATCTGCTCCAAATGCGCGCCCAGAAGCAAAGGAGCCCGATCGGGCGTGTACCTCCTCCTGGTTTAGGCAGAAATACATTGATCGTGACCCACATGCGTTCACAGTGCGGATTGCGCTCCCAACTTGAAATAATCTCTTGGAGCCTCCGAACAAACACTCCATCCAGGAAGCTTACCAACCTCATGTGAAAGTTGTCCCAGCCTAGACCAGTGGAAAAGCCAAAGGAGCGACAGACCTGGACGATCTGGTCCTCCGAGATCTGGTCGGGCTTCCACGGGTAACTCCAGTCAGACGGCGCTGCCTCCTGGGCCCTGTCGTCAGAGATCCACAGCTCTTCCCATTCCTCCAGCACCGCCGTGATCGCAGCAGCTCCCACCAGACCATGGGCCTTGCCTTTGGCCAGCGTGGGCGCCTCCTCCAACAGCTTGGGCCTGGAAATCGCGTGCGCTAGCCTGCCAGAGCCATCAGCTGCGAGGTCGCCGAACTCTCTCCAGGCCTTACTCCTGGCCTGTGAGCCCTTGCGTCTGCGCACATCCACCTCCTCCGCTAGAACAGTTCGAAACCAGGCAGACAACTGACCTCCTCTCTTGGCCAAGGCGACCCACTTCTGGACATCCTTCGCCTGCAGGGAGGGGGAATCCGAGATGGCCTCAGGGAGCTTCAGGGCCAGCAGCTGTCTCTCGCACCTCGCGGAGTGCTCTGGCCTGCCTGCTTTCGAACCAGACGGAGCTGACGATGCCACACATAGGGCATCCCATAGCTGAGGGCACTCAGCCAAGCTCTGGTGTCCGACTCGTCGTGGCGCTCTAGGATAGCCTTCGCACAGTCCACCAGCCTCTTCTTCTTGAGTACCACGCCCTTCTCCCTGCCAACGTAGAGCCTCCTGTCCGAGAACGGAATCTCGAACAACTGCACCAGGTACTTCTCAGCCGCCTTGAACCACATCGCTGCCGCATCCTCGACTGAGTTCACGGGGGCGTCCAGTTGCCACTCGTCAAGCACAGGTACCATAGGCGGTTCCGTGGTCGAGGTGAGGTCGGTCACCTTGGCACTCTTTGCCTTCTCCCTGGCTTTCCTCTTGGCCTCCTGGTCGGCCAGAGGAAAGGCCCGCGGGGGCGCCTCGACCCAGACAAAGGGCTCGTCCCTGAGGCCCTCCAGCTTGATCTCAACGTAGCAGTGTGGCGAGATCGGCGTGTCCACCCTGGCCTCCACCGACATGGGGAAGGCGCCCAGAGCCTGGGAGCCAATGAAGTAGTCATACTCCTTGCCATTGCAGGTTGGGAGGCCAGGTGCGAAGATGGTGGCGGTTGCCAGGTCCAGCCATCCTAGCTCCATGATCTCCTCAGGTTCTAGGTTCCAGTCACCTCCTAGCAGGAAAGGGAAACGCTGCGCCCCCAGGAAGGCACTGAGGAACTCCAGCAGCTCCAGGTTCTCGCCCTTGGGGCCGATCGAGTCGACGCCGTAGACTGAGCCGATGATGATCCACGAGTGAGCGCCAACCGTCATGAGCCTCATCACAACACGGTGCTGCCACCTCTCAGGAACCTGGAGCTTGGCCACCCCAATGCCAATGGCCGCTGACAAACCCACTCCTGTTGAAAGAGATCTGGCCGATTCTCCTGTGCGCTTGGCAGTTCCCAGCGCCAGCTTCCGAGAGCAAGTGCGAGTCCATTGATGGGCCCCTGCTTCCCCCGACTGGTCCAGCACGGTCTCCTGAATGCATAACACATGCGGCATCTGACATTGTTTCTCAATCCATGGCATGGTGCTCCGAGCCCTTGGCCAAGTATTCGCATTCAGAGTGCCAACTTTGAACGTACCTAGGGCACCGCGATCCTCAGGAGGGAGCCCTTCCAACAATGAGATGACCTGCTTCGGCTGCAGCGCTGCTTGAGACTCCACCTGGAGTTGCTCAACACTGACTCCCATGGCTCGAGACTCAGCAAGTGGCGACTGAACCTGGCTGGGCACTTCCTCCGAGCGTCGGTTGCCCCCAGGGTTTAGCGATCTAACGCCAGACTCCAACGACGGGCTCTCACAATCTACTCTGAGACAGCCAGGTTCGAGGAGCGCCTGGCTGTCGCGTTCTGACACTGAAATTTCCTCACTGCGAGCAACAAAAGGTTTGGACGAGAGGGCCGCCAAGCTCTGGTTGGGCTTGACGGCTACGTTCTGACTGGCTGTCACGTTCTCGGCGCTCTGACATGTCGCCGAAGCCCGTGGCCACTCTTCCTCGCAATTTAACTCTGAGGAGACCAGGCTCGAGGCGCACCTGGTCTCCAATCCGACAAAACGGGTAGACGCCACCCACGAAGTCGACGGCGACACCGCAGCCCAGGGAGTCGCCGACACTGGAGCCGACGGCGACACCGCAGCGCAGGGAGTACCCGACACCGACGATGACAGCTCATCCGAAGAAGACGGCCTCGACGATACGCTCGTGGCAATCGACTTCGCCGTCAGTGCACGCTCCTCCAGCGCCGCTGCCCGCCTGGGACTCGCACCTGCCGTGAGGCAGGCGGGTTCACTCAGGCTGCTCCTCTCAGGAGAGAGGACGCTAGCGGCCGCCTTCTCAGGAACGGCACCGAGAGATGACCAGGAACAGGGAGTAGCCGAACTCGACCACGTCGCCCCCACTTGTGTCGAGCTCACGCTGTGGCTAAAGCCCCGACCGTTTTGCTGCCTGCACACCAACGTCAGCAGAGACACGAGAGCGAATGTCCAACTGTGGGGCAGGCTTGCCAGCTGCATCAGCCGGCGCCTCGGCAGGTGAGCTCGCTGTCGCGGTCTCTGGGCTTGGCGAGGCCCCTGGTCCAGACTCGATCCCACCTGTGGCGGCTGCTTGTTCCCCAGGGCAACCGTCAGCAGTGCGTCGTCGCTTCGCTTGGAGTCGTTTGAGGTGCTCCTTGTGCTGGTCCTGGGCGGAATTGGCCTTCTCCAGAGCTTGGCGAAATACCGATCCCAGCACCTCTTGCATCTGCTTCGCCACGTTGTTCTTGCGATCCTCGAGCTCTCGTAGGTCCTCTTCAGACACCTCGTAGCTGCCCTTGACAGCCTCAACATCAATGAAATCGTCACAAGAAATAAGGCTGGCCAGCTCCATCTCACCGTCGATGAGCTTGCGCAGGCTGATGCTCGGCAGGCCGCTGGACTCCGTCGCTGGTGGCCCTCTGTGCTGGCTCTGGAGCTCCACCAGGGCGGCTGCCACCTCGTCGTCGGCAGCCTGCAGCTCCTCGGCCAGGGCCCCAACCGTGACTGCCAGCTCATCTGTCGCCCGACGCCAGCGCTCCAGCTTCTCGAACTCACTGTTGAGGCGTTTCTCGAGCTTCTCCTGCTTCTGCTCTGCGGCAATGAGCCTCTGCCTCCCCGACTGCTTCGGGGGCGGCGCCGCCCTCTGCGCCAGGGCTCCATAGCGCGCGGCCCCCACAGCGTCCCCAGCCTCACGAGCCAGACGCTGTAATTCGAGGGCCTTGGCCTGGGGAATCTCGGGAACAGGTCCAGGAGGGAGTGCCGTGGAGAGGTTGCCTGGGCCCTTGCCACCGAACAGATCTCCCTTGCCGCCTTTGTACCCTTTCTTTCCCTTGCTCGCTCCCTTCCCCGACTCGTCCGACGCCATGGGGGCCCCAGAGTCATCAAGTGGTTGGGGACGAGTACCGAGCTTTTGGCCACAATGCTTGCAGCACATCGATCCTTTTGAGTTCTTACGACATCCGCAGTGGTGGCAAAGAATTTCACCTTTGGGACCTGCCACCGTCTTCCATTCCTCCTCGTGCTTGGCTCGCTGGCTGTCCCATTTTTCCCACTTGGCTGCCGAACCCCCGCCCTCAGGTATGGTGCCCCCCCAGCGACGGGGCCGGGATGACTGAACCCACGGGCGGCGCTCCCACTCACCAGGGCCAGCCGGAGCCATGGCGCGAGAGCAAGGATTGGGATGTTGGAGGCTCGCGAACCCCTCGACCGAGGGACCTCCGTACAGGTTGGTTGCTGCCGCGGACTAGCGGTATCCGTTTTTGCCAGAGCGGGCTCAGCCCGCCAAAGCATGGGTCTTGAGCCAAAATGGCTACGGAGAGCGAAGAGGAGGTGAAGAAGAAGAAAGGTGGAGAAAGAGAGCAGCAGCAGCAGCAGCAGCAGCAGGTCAGGAGGAGGAGGAGGAGGAGGGAGGAGGAGGAGGAGGAGGAGGAGGAAGGAGGAGGAGGGGGAGGGCGGAGGAGGAGGAAGAGGAGGAGAAGGAGAAGGAGGAGAGAAGAAGAAGAAGGAGGAAGAAGAAGAGGAGCAGCAGGAGGAGATGGAGGAGGAGGAGGAGGAGGAGGCGGAGGAGGGGAAGAGAAGGAAGAGGAGGAGGAGGAATGAGGAGGGAGAGGAGGAGGGAGAGGAGGAGGAGGAGGAGGAGGAGGAGGAGGAATGAGGAGGGAAAGGAGGAGGGAGAGGAGAAGGATGAGGAGGAGGAGGAGGTGTAGGAGGAAGAGGAGGAGGACTCCGCTTCCCCCCCTCCCCCGACCTCGCCCTCGGGGGACTGGAGCTTCATCTTGATCCGGTCTACCGTCGCCACGGCGCCCCCCTTGGGCGCTGCCTCATGGGGGGCGCGACGCGTGGGGAGGGGCGAAGAAGCGTGCATCTCTCGTGCCAGCTTTGGGGGCCCCTGGGCGCCCCGTTTTAGGGGCCCTGAGGTGGACGACAGGGCACGTGAGGGCCCTCTCGAGCACCGCAGGAGGCCCTTCAGGGGTCCATTGAAAGCCCTTCGGGGCCCTGTAGGGCTTTATATAGGTGCACGAAGGGGCCCCAGCGGGGCCCTAAAGGCATTCTGCAAAGGTCCACTTCTGGCCTCTTTTGAGAGGGTCCCTTCAGGGCCCTCGTAGGGCCTGGTAGGGCACCTTTCTTGGGGAACACCACAAGGTACCGATACCGCTACTCCACGGACCTCCTGGGGTGACCAGAATCTCGAGGCGAATCCAGCGGTGGCGACGAGGGCCGCCAAGGAGGCTCCAAAAAGCGGAGAACGAGCGACGGGTAGAGGTATGGGTACTCTGAGCAGTTTCTTAGGGTGGAGGGCTCAGGTTGAAATTCATATGGGCTTTTGCACCTCGGACATCAATCCGTCTTGTGATTCATCGCTGGCAGATTCAAGCCTCGAAAATCCGTCGAACGGCATTTCAGACTTCACCGTTTGCCCTCCACCCAAAGAAAAGGTACTTTCTTGTCCTCTGATTTCTTCACCACCCCTCCCATGTGATCGCCCCCCCATTGGGCAACGTCCGACCCCCTCGGCGGCGCGGGCGACCGGGCCGCGGAGGGCCCCGGCGGGCCGCGCCGCGGGGCCCACGAACGCGGCCAGGTGGCGGGCGAGCAGGGCCGCCGCCGCGACCACCGCGAGCCGGCACGCGGCCTGCGACGTCGCCATCTGCTCCTCCTCATCCTCCGCCTCCTCCTCCTCCTCCACCTTCCTCCTCCTCCTCCTCCTCCTCCGCCTCCTCCTCCTCCTCCTCTCCTTCCCTCTCCCCTCCTCCCCCCCCGCCTCCCCTCCCGCCTCCGCCTCCTCCTCACCTCAATCCCCCTCCTCCTTCCTCCTCCTCCTCCTTGTCCTCCCCCTCCTCATTCCTCCTCCTCCTCCTCCTCCTCCTCCTCCTCTCCTCCTCCTCCTCCTTTTTCCTCCTCCCCCTGCTCCTCCTCGTCCTCGTCCTCGTCCTCCTCCTCCTCCTCCTCCTCCTCCTCCTCCTCCTCCTCCTCCTCCTCCTCCTCCTCCTCCTCCTCCTCCTCGGTCGGCCGGCCGGTCGGAAGGCGGAAAGTCGACGCCACAATGGAGAGATAAGGGCGAGAAGACCACTTGGTGAAGAACGGAGCAGCGGCAAAAGCAAGCAGATCAGCAAGTGGACCTGAGCAAATGCCAGCGCCAGAAGGCGCGATCCCACACTGGCCGTGGGCTGGCACAAACAAAACAATGGGGTACGATCGCTTAAAGTGGATGGGCACTTAAGACAGAGAAAGGAAATACAAGAGGGGTAAGAAAAGAATAGACCTTCCCCCAATGTTGACAAGAGTGCTACTGCCAGGGGCGCAGCAAAGCTTCCCATATGGAACATTTCACACCATGCAACTACTGCCAAGAAGGTGGCGCGCCTGGCGGAGCTCTGGTGGGCTCGGCAATCCTTCATTGCATGGCCATTCACACTCCTATCTAGTTCGTGGTGGTCAGCCACGCTGCAACTCTGCAACTCAATAGGATACTGATGAAGAGAAACAAGAGAAGCAGACCGCCACGTCACATCACACACTCGGGTCCGACTGAACTGTGAGATTGTGGATCATATAATCCATGGCCATCGTTCCAACCACGTAGGGGTCGAGTGGGGATGTGAACCGTCGTAATCCTATCGGCACCTCCCGGCCGTCGTCACAACTGCTGAGGTCGATCCTGCTCCTGAGTGACCGCTCGTCATTGAGAGCCCATCGAAGCCTGCTAGCAGCTGCAGACGGGAGAGGGGAGGGGAAAAGGATTACAACTCAACTCGGGTTAGCGTACCGAAATCTCCTGGACCAAAGAGGCCGCCAAAAACTGGCACAGCAGGGACGGATATGTCTTGCCGTGCACACTGCACCACAAACCATCAGCGCCAACCCCCGATAGACCCCTTCTTTAGCATCCAGGATGGTGGCCATGGTTGGCACGTGGATGGCAAGGAGGGTGGTCGGCTTCAAGACTCTAGCTCCAAACATGCACTGGTGAATGTGGTGAGCTTTGACCCCAGGAAGCCCCAGATGACGAAGGATTTGGGGGAGATGCCAAAAGCTGGGGGCCTCAGGAGCCAGGGGGTTGGCGGAGGGATGCCCCATGATGGCCGGCACCTCGTGAACCCAAGCCTCGCACAAGAGCCTGACTGTAGTGCGCAAGAGTACGTTGCCAAGCCTTACCTGTTCACGCTCACGACGGTTGAGATGCCCTAGCCCCCACACAAATGGCATGCAGTGCGAAGGGGTCGAGGGGGTCGCCTTCCTCCAGGCGCGTCGGCAGGAGCGGGCAAGCATCGTGCCGAAGACCAGGTTTCGCAGGGCGGCCCCGCAAGGATGGCCGCCACGCGCCCCGAGCGGAGGAGAGAAATCCAGAGTGCGATCGCGTCAGGGGCCGCGAGATCCCCATGAACAGGGCGGCTGGCAATATCCACGCCCAGGACCGCCAACTTGGCAAGAAAACGCTCCAAAATGTCCTCAACATGCCATTAGAAATCATATAGCCTCCGAGATCCCGAGAACAGGTGAAGGATAAACTTGAGGGGCCTGGTGGGGAGCGGGAGGTGACAGAAGGGCCCTGGGAGAGGAGGCTCGGGGGGGACCTCAACAACAACAGCTGGACGGGTTTCCTCAAGCTGCCTTCGCGAAATTCTGTGCCAAGGGCCAACAGGGGGACCCTCGCACTGCCTGGGGGGTCGTTCTGCAAAGTTGTCGGGCCTCCCTTTCTGGCGGCTGGCCGCCGAGACGCGCCTAGCCTCGAGCCTGGCGTCCTCGACTTCCTGGTCGGTCGGTTGCGCCACTCCTGACCTGCTCCAAGAATAGCGGCATGAGGGAGAATTACGTAGGTGCTGAGTAAATCGAGGTATGGAGGAAAAGTCCTTGAAACAAATTTGACAATAAGATCCCGTCGCAAGTCGGGTCGGTTCACCTGGCTCCTTGTGCCACTTGCCCATATGGGCGCGTAGTTGCTGCTCGGACACGGCTTGGTGAGAGCAAATGGGGCACGCAAATAGGGCATCGGGGTAACAGGACGCGCCCAAGGGGGTGCCCTCTGTGGCCTTGCTCAACTCACGTTCCCATATTAGCCTGTGCTGGACGTCTTGCTCGTATGGCTTGGCGTGGAGGATGGCAGCAGCAAGAATAGAGCGAAACGCACGAGGGTGGCCGAGCACGAACGTACCAAACCAGCCGCAGACAGATCGTCGGGCCTACGGGTCGGTTCTGTGTGAAACCACAGCCACTCAGCATCCCCCTTCAAGAACTGAGCCCAACCCTTAGCACAATCCCAAGTAACATCGACTAAAACCCGAACGAGGGGAGGGGCATGAGCAATCAAGCGAGCAAGGTAGCGCAAGCGAGATATACACATAACAACATGTTGGGGGAGCCGTTGGGCGTCATACGATACCTGAGCCGTGAGGTCATTCTCACTTGCATTGCTAGTAGAGGCCAAGTTGAGTGCTGTCCTACACACTGTTGTGTGCATGGTAGCTATCATGCGCCCCTGAGCTAATGTGAGAGCCGGTCAGACATTAGCAGCATAGTACAGAACGGAAGAGGCTGGTGCCTCTGCATACAATATCTTGGCTCTGGTGGAGAGTGCAGCTCGCGGGGCAACTGTCGCACGAATGGGCACAAGTGCCCCTCTGGCTTTGGAAACACGAGTGGAAACTTCACAGGCCATAGAATTTGATGCCGGAACTTGAACTCCCAAGATCTTATGAACCTGGGCCACAGGAAAAGAAAACGACCACTTATCAGATGACACAGCGTGGACGTCATGGGTGGAAAAACCTGGTACACTCCTGGACCCCTTGCCCCTCAAAAAGTACAAGATCTTGGTTTGGGAACTGTTGGGCCTCAGTCCATGCGTGACGCATGCAACATATACTGCTTCAGAGAGAGCAAGAGCTAAACGTGGCATGTCGCGCGCGGCTCGCACAATGAGGGAGACAGCTAAGTCATCCACAAAGGAAAGATCAGCTTGAGCCCCCTCCCAGTCTGCCACAGACGCACAAATGAGCTCAGAAGCTGTAAAAGCATGCCTCACTTCTGACCCTAGCTGTGCTACCGACTGCCGAATTTTGAGCAACACAGAACGAAAGACAATGTTGAAGAAATCAGTGGCCAGGATTGTTCCTGGTCGCGTGCCTCCCGCAGGCGCAACATAATTGTCTGCGTTCCTGACCTGCCAACACGTGCCCCTCTGAGACTCTCTAATCAAGGCGACTAGGTGGACGCATGTTAGGTTGGCCTCCAGGAGCTTCCTAGACTCAAGAATGGCTTCGACCCCCTCCATGAGGGCCTCGGGTATAGCCACCTGCTCAAGAGCATCTGCTAGCTTATCCTCCTCCCCAGGAAGAGAAAGAGCAAACTGTTTAATGACACTATAAAACGCGTCAACAAGGCCCAGGGGTAGACACACAAGCGAGACACACTTAGCCTCGTATGCCACATTGAGTAGGTGGATACCGTGGAGGGGCATCTCGGGGCCCTTGCAGGCCACGCCCCCACATTGTTCAGCAAGCAAGCACACGCCAAAGAAGTCTAAAGCTAAATTGCGTAAATGCGTATGGTATAATTTGCATATAGTACTGGCCATGGTTATGTTGCGCTGCGCACGTGCGAGCTGGGGTGGTCCAGACCCTTTTGTAAAAGAACGTGACCTCGCCCAGCTTGAATACCAGCGGCTCTCGAACACTTAACACAATCTTGCACAGCAAGGGGCACAGAGCTCGTGCAATCTCGCGTGGGGCAGCCTTCAAAAGGGCAGAGGGAAATCCATCGGGCCCTGGGGACGTGCGTGCTTTTATCCCACGCAGGAAATACTCAATTTCAAGCACTGTAGGGAGAATGATAGATTCACGATCGAGGTTGACCCGCATCAGCTGGGGCATATCATTGAAGGCTTGGACGATGCCCTGCAAGTCAAATGCCCTTCAAACTCGACCGCGCGAAAGTGCTCTTGCATATGGTTGCGCACATCCTTCTGAGTAGTTAAGATTCTGGGACAGGGTTCGAGGCCTGACGCCTCCGCAGCTCTGATGTCGTCGGGTGATGGGGGGGGGCACCATGCGGGGGAGAGCATCGGGAATCCGAGAGGCACCTCCCTTCCTACCCCCCGCTGCAAGCAAGGACTTGACCTTGTCCCATTGATGCTTAGGCAACTTGGCATCTATGGATATAGTGGTCTCTTTAGCTGTCTCTTCCAGCTGCCAGGTCCGATCGCGATCCAAGAGATTGGAAAGAGTGAGCTTGCTGGTGAGGAGAAAATCTATAAGCCTGTCCCCAAACTCATACATGTCAATAAGGTTGCGTCGACACCTGCGCGCCGCTGACCTGGCGGGCTGGACAGCTCGTCTAAGCTCATCGGTGAATAGTTTGTCAAAGGCATCCTTCAAATCGCCATGCTCTGCTCTTCTGGCAAAGTTGGGCATGGACAAAGCGGCGAGACGAGGGGATGCAGCCGCGGTGACGTTCTCGCTAGAGAGGGGTCCCCCTTGGGAAGGGGGGTCAGAAGAGACATCCTCGGTTCCCGGGTGCGCAGGCGGTGGTACAAACAAGTGCTTCAGTGCACGCGTGGCCGCCCTCCTCCATATGATCATATCTAATGCGAGAGGGGAGACATATTCTTTCTTGGGCGCTTTCACAGGGTACGAA